ATGAGGCTGGGGCTGTCCTGATGCAAAAACTGAACTGCCCGAGCTGTGCCCAGAAGGATGTCTAGTCGCTGAGGCCAGGAGAGAGGGGGGCAGGCCTGGGTGTGGGGTGGCAAAGGGAGCAAACGGGCACAGAGGTGCTGGTGGTAACCATTCTTTGACCACCAACCCTCCCTCTACCTGTCACTGCGTGGCCTGGAACAAGCCACTTCACTCTCTGGGCCTCAGTTTCCCCTTCTGGAAGACAAGGAGCAAAGTCTCTATGACCTCCTTCACAAGCAGGTGGACACTAAGCTGTCCTGCTGCTTTGTAAAGGCCAGGAAAATGGCTGGGGAACATGTTTTTGGGATTCATGACAGAATCTGATGGGCTTCAGTTCTCAAGAGTCCACTCCTTCGTCCCTGGGTGGTCAGCAGTTGTCGAAGGCATTCTCCCTTCCCTCCCCCAACACAGCTTAAGTGAAAAGACAAGGAATCCCTCACCCTGTGTGTGCTTAGTCCCTGTGTTTCACAGGTACCTCACTCAGATGGGGCCAAGTCTCAGAGAGTACAACCTGCTGACCACTGGCCCCTCTGCCTCAAGGGCTACACCGACCAGACCTTTCAGCTACTCTGATTACAAAAAGGAGAAGCTTGAGTCAATAATCCCCCTTTTAGAGGAGAGACCAAGAGAAGAGTTCTGTAGAAAACAGTGACACACCTCAGGTGAAACCCTGAGCCAGGTGCTGGGAGGGAACCGGAAGCTGAGGCCTACCAGCTGGCAGAACCCAAACATGAAGGCTGGAAGACCCAAGCCCCACGCCCAACCCTGCCCAGGTGCCAAGAGCGCTGTGGGTCCGGGCAAGTGTGCCAGGCCAGGTGAGCCTACCTGGAAGTGGAGACGGTCTTCCAGAGAGCCATTGGGCAGGAAACCATATACAAGGCAGTAGAAGCCACTCTGGGCACAGTAGCCAGCAAAGTCCACGATGTTTGGGTGACGAAACCTGTTTGAAAAAGTGGGGCCTGAGCACTCTGGCCCCCCAGGCTCTTTCCATTTGGCCAGTGGTGGGCAGTCCCTGCTGGTCCCTCAGCGAGGCTGGGCCTGGCAGGCTTCAGGCACCCAACGGAGCCAGGTCCTGTGGTGTGTGTCCTGGAGCCTGACAGGGCCCTGGTCCAGCCTTCCTTCTGTTCCCAGCTCAGAGGAACCCAAGGCTCACCTGGACAGCTGTTCCACCTCGGTCAGGAAGCTCTGTCTCACTGCAGCCCACTCTAGGTCAGCCTCCTGCAGCCACCAGGTGTGGCAGGGGAGAGGCAGGGAAAATGGGCAGTGTCAGGCTCTTGTGGCCAAGGCTTGTCAGCCACTTCCAGAACAACTAGGGTGCCAGGGACATTGCACTGGAATCAGAGGCCTGAAGGAGTCGTGGGGGACACCAGGGGGAAGGACTGGAGAGGGGAGTGAGGGCTCTCTGATGGCCTTGTGGGGCCATGGCCAGGACGCAGCACCCACCTCCTTCAGCCTCTTCACCGCATACACAGTGTTCCTCATCACTGCCCGGTACACGCACCCAAAGCCGCCCTCCCCAATCTTGAGCTCCTCTGAGAAGTTGTGGGTGCCCTGCGAAATCTCACACAGGGGCCAGCAGAATGGAGAGGGGTGGGCCCCCTTTAGGAGGGGCACTGGGCTCTCCAGCTTTGGCTGTGGGGAAGAGACCCTGGATCAGGTGACAGCCTGGTCTTCCCCACTCTGTCTAGGGCTACAAGCTCCCCCACCCCAGCTGCCTCCCAGCTGACCCGGCTTGGCTAACTGGGGCTCTGAGGTGCACTGAAGGCTGAGTTTCTCCCTCCTTGTCTCAGACATTCCTTGGGGGGTAGGGAGCACCTACCTCAGCAGCAGAAGAGGCTGGAGACGGTGGTGGTGGTGGTGGCTGGAGAGAAGCAGGGCTTGGGACCAGGCTGAGCTCAGGCTGTGAATGGGTCCTGGGGCCTGGAAAAACTTCACAGAGACACCAGTGAGAGGCAGACAGAGACCAACAGCGGATCTACAGTCCTGGCCATGGTCAAGGAGGTCCCTTTTCTCAGGTCTGTCAAGCCCAACACCAGGGCCCTCTTACCAGAGGAAAGGAGGGTGGAGGCTGAAGACTGCAACTTCTCAGGGCTCCAGGCCTCGGCCTGAGGGGGTGCAGAGATGCTGCTAGGCCTCAGGGCAGTGGTGCTTGGGGGCGAAAGGGGGGCGGGAGGATGCCCTGGGTGCCAAGGGAAGGAAAGGAAGGTTGAGGCCCAGGTCTGGGTTGCGGGTGTGGAGGAGCCCTAGGGGGTCCCACTGGGCCGCCAGCCCTGGGGCCCCAGGGACGCGCACGCTCACAGGCTGTGATGATGTCCCGCGCGCGGAGCAGCTGCAGATGCGTGAGGATGTGCAGGAGGTCGGCCACACGGGCATTGCGGTTGATCCAGGGCCACAGAACGCTGGCCGTGCGCTGCCCAGAGCGCTCGCACAGCCGCAGCTCAGTCTGGTCGCGCACGATCAGGGCCGCTACGGGAAGGGGAGCGTCAGGGCTCGGCGCCCAGAGCCCGCCGCCCCCACCCGCTCGCCCCCCGCCACCCATCCGACCCCCCTGCCACCCACCGAACTGGCACCAGTCGGCGGGCTCCAGGGCGTCCATCACTTTGTAGAAGCGGCACATGACCCAGGGCGGCACTTCATACAAGAAGTGCTGAGCGCCGGGGGCCGCGGGCTCTCCAGGGCCCGGCCCCCCGGCCATGGCCGCCGCCGCCGGGCCGGGGCTTCTCAGGGCCTCTGGAGGCCGCGGCGGGCGCGGGCCTGGGCCAGCCGGGTCTGAGGACACTGACTCACTTCCCCTTCGAGCCAGCCTCGTGCGACGCCCGGCCGGGCGGAAGAGGCGGCGCCCGGGCCCGCAGCCATATCGCGCGCAGCGGCCGGCGCGCCCCTCCGCCACACGGGGGCGCCCTGCACCCCTCGCCGCGCCGGGGGAAGGGACCCCAGTCGCCGCAACGCGTCCCAGATGAGACGAGTCAGCGGGAGGCCGGGACCCCGACGCTTCACCCCAGCAGGGCGGGCAGAGCGAGCTTCCAGGAGGACCAGGCTGCCTCCTGTGTCCTCCATCCTATCTTTTCCACTCCTTCAGCAACCTACATCAGCAGTTGTCAGCTCTTTGCTTTTTTCCTTCTTTGCTGGCTCCTTCCCACTAGCACATAAACGTGTGCTAGATCTCTTAACAGGTCTTTGCGCCACCCTGCATGCACGATTTTCAGCTCCTGCTGCCCCTCCTCCCTTTTGTGTCACACTTCTGGCCCTGTGAGGATGCCAGAGTCCAGCAGCTTCTCCCACCCTCCTCCCAGCCTGTTTGACCCGTGGCCACATCAATCTCTTGCCTGTTCCCTCAGCATTCTCCGCCGTTGGATTTCTATGGGTTCCCTGGCCACTCCTCTGTCCCACATCTCAGTAGCCACTATCTTGCTCTCACGGAACATCTTTACAGTCCACCCCTTCCCTGCAGGCCCACGGCCCTCACCACTGCATCTTACCTTGATGAACGTGCTGCCTTTCTGACAGGGGTCCTTGGTTGTCTCTGTCCAGATGGTCTTCCTCAGGAACAATTCAAATCATCACACTTTCCTAAGCCCTTCCCAAGGTTCCCCAGATCCTCCTATGCAGTCCCAGCCCTTTGGTGTTGCCTACAGGGGTGTTACAATGCACCCCCTGCCTGCCCACCTCATGTCTAGCCCACCCTCTGCACAAATCAGTAGCCTTAAGCCATTTAGAACTTCCCAAGGTATTCTCAAATGTGCCAAGAATGCTGTCCCCCACAGCCATGAGTTTGCACGTGTTGCTCCCCTGGCTCTTGTTTGACAAGGCTGAGCTCAAGCAGCTGTGGTGAAGGTATCCTAAGCCCCACAGGTAGCTGCTGCAGCCCCTGAACCCTTCTTCTCATGCACATCCTTCTTGAGCTGAAGCCCTGAGCCTCTGTACTTGTCTGACTCCCCCACTGGACAGGGAAGACCCCCAAGCAGCAATGGGGACTGTTTTGTTTCTCCAGCTGGATCTCCTCCCCCAACAGTCCCCCTTGCCCTCTTGATCCTGAAGGCAAAGGGGCTTCTCAGCCCCAGTCTGTTCTCCCAGAGACTTACTTAGGGCTGTTTCTAGAAATGAGGTCTGCCCAAGGCACACAGCCGGCCCCTGTTGGAGCCTGTTCCCTGAAGCTGCAGCCACTGTGGCCACTCCCAAAGGGACAGCCAACTATGTCCTGAGCCTCAGTGGCTTCTCACAGGTACAGCCCTTACTGAGATGTGCCACCTCAAGTATCTGAAATTATCATTCACACACATGCTGACCTCTATGGAACAGGGCCTCGGTCCTACTTGCACACTGCTCAAACATCAGCTCCAAGAACAGTCCTGGCACAGACATGCTCAATGAATACAGGCTGAATCTTCAACCCTTTCATATAACGTTCAAGGCCAGGACTTTAGAGTACCTTCTAGTAGGTGTGCCCACATTTGCATGTGAAGCTGGACTAATCCACAGTCCTGCTGACCGGTGGAGTTTTCTCCTCCAGCCCAATACCAACCTGGTGAGGCAGCTCCCTATAGGAAGGCAGGACAACATGTCTCCCTTTGATCCATCTGTCAGCATGCGCTTGCCTGCTCAGGGAGCCAGCTTAGCAGTTAGCAGAGGCCACATGAAGGTCTCTGCCAGCATGGAACACAGGAGTCGTCAGGGCCTTGGGGATCTAAAAGCACCATGGCACATAAGACCTAGGAGGTGCTCTTACCGTACAGGTCAGGAACAGGAAAGTTGTGCTGCAGGCAGACTCATGCCAGGAGCAAGCCAAGGAAGGTCCCAGCAAGGCCAGTGTGTGAAGTGGGCTTCCCTTTCCTCTCCTGGCAGTCCTGAAAGTGCCTATCTGTGTTCAGGGACAGCCAGATCAAATGAGGAAACACACCACCATGCTGTCATGTGAGCTGGAGGGAAGACTTCTGTCTTATAATGAAAGCCCAGACCTTGAGTCACTTTCACAGAGAGATTTATCGAGAATGCTAACAGCACAGGATACAGTACTTCCCAACAAAAGGTGCAAACGCGTCACTTAGAAAGGCATGCTGAGTATTCTTTGCTTTCACATGTATTAAAAAACTTACAAAAATAAAATAAAACTGCGTGCTGCCCATCTTTTCAAATAGTAAAAGAACCTTATGAAAAAAATCACTTGATTTTACAACAAAAGACACAAACGGACATTTTTATGTAAATTTATAAGGCAAACTCTTTATATAATAAATAGGTTACAGGGATTCAGTGGGGGGTGTTTTTGAAACGTATACAGGTACATTCAGACAGGTTTACTGAAATGGTACAAATTTCCTTAATAAATTGCCTTTTGTTTTTAAATATATCAGTGCTTTCAGTCATTTGGCTATACACAAAGAACCTTTTTTTGAACACTACAAAAAAGCAATCAATAATTTGTTTTTAAAACGACCTACTTATTTTCTAAAGTAATTGTCCCAAAACACAAAAACTGAAGGTGAATGCAATAGAGGGCTTTCAGAGACATCTCCAGCTAAGTCTGTCCTGGCCTCTCCCCATGCCCCAAGTGCACCTCTCCCAACCTCAGATGGGTTTTTGGGCTGGAGCCAGCTCCCTTCTGCACAGGGTGGCCTGTGACACTGGCAGCACTGTCCACAAACCTTGACCTCCAGGCTGGCACAGGGGTGCATGACTTTGACTCAGGAGGAGACAGACACCCTGCCTATTTCCTCCAGCTACTACACCCCATGTGTAAATGCTCACTATAGTCAGGACTGTCCTCACCTCTCAGAGGAGCGGCTATCAGGCTCTCCAGTAGCCCCAAACAATGTCTAATGAGGGTAATGGCCTCTCTGAGAAGGATCTGTTTTTGCCATAGAAAGGGAAGGGAGGTTTCTCATGTCCAAATTTTGCTGGGGACTGGATGACAGCGAAGAGAGAACAGGCCCCTCCACCATCATTTTATTGTCCCGGATCGTGGGGACTACAGATGTCATGTTAGTGTTGTGCTCTGGGGGACAGGGTGGGGTGTGACAGAAGTGTCTCCAATGGCAATGCCCATGAGGCATGCCTTGGAGATGAGAATGCCTACCCTGTCCAGGAAGAGCTGCATCGATGGGGGAGTGGCCAATCTATCTGGCAAAATATGTCTGACCTGTGTCCACAGTGGAGCGTCCCAGCCACGTGCTTATCCCATCCTCCCTCCCTCTTCAGCAGTGTTAGCTGTGCACACATATCCCCTCCTGGTTCCCCTCAAAGGATCAACCTTGTCTTTCCTTAAAGATAACGAATGATAGTAATGATTTCAGGGGAGGGGAAGCAAAAAGGAATCCACTGAACAAAACCAAAACTGGTTTTGCTCTGACTTTAAAAATGGCAACACATCAGCTATTTGGTCTGTTCGCTCAGAATGGGGCTTCCGGGCTTAACTTCGTTGGGTGGTTTCTGGCTGATGTGGGCAGAATCAGCACTTCAGCTCTCCCCTCTCATCTCAGTCACCATCCCCCTCCCTCCAAATGCTTTTGTTTGTAAAGAAAAGGTGTCTAGAAGCATTTGTCTCTGGAACAATTACTTTAAACATGGTTACAATACAGATTTCAGTTCAAACACAGAAGAGATTTACTTAGCAAAGTTCCTTTCACCCACCAAAAATTACACAAATATAAGCCTCAACACCACAGTTAAGAGGACCAGTAGAGAGAACCTCATGTTTGGAACACAAAATGAGAAATAAAAACCAAACCAAACCCAAACAAAAAACCCCCAGAAAGACAAGGAAAGGGTAAAGGAAGGAAAGGAGAGCAAACACAGCACACGGTACAGTGTCCAGATACACGGGAGCCCAGCACAAGGAATGGGCTCGGCACACATTGAGTAACAGTCCTGGTGATATTTGGTCATATATTCATCAACTACTGACTCTGGAGCAGCTGTTATTGATTGAAGCAGTGACAAATCAAACGGAAAAGGAGGCCGTGGTAGCAAGGGAAGGAGCAGGCTTCACGTTCTGCAAGCCTTCTGCACTCCACTGTCCAGCTTCCCAGAAACACTGAACCGGATGGGCTCCGCTCTCTCCGGGCAGGGCTAGAGGTCACTGGGTGAGGCTAACTCGGGCGCTGATTTCATGTCAGTCAAAGAGCACGCACATGGACACACACAGACACCCACCTGTTAGTGGCCAAACATTAGCGGCAATGGATTCCTCTGCCCACAACCCAGGCTGGGTGGGAAAGAACATCGAGACCCATGGCTAATACTGAAGGCATGATGGAGGAGGCCCCAGCCCAGAGGTTGCCCCAGGCTTGGTCCTCCAAGAGGCCTGAGGGTAGCCTGGCCACTCTACCGCTTCTCATTTGGATTCAGGCCTCAGGAGAAGCAATAATGCAGGGAGGGAAGCTTTTGGCCCTGGTGATTATAATGCTCTCTGCTTTGGAAGAACAGGTTTTTGGATTTTTTTTGGTGTTTTTAATTACTTAAAAAAAGATCAAAAAGAACTGTTACAGCTAAACTCTCCAGCAGATATTGCTCATTAAGAATTACAAAAGCAAATGCAATTACTCATAGGATGAGGGAGAAGGAGGGATATTTCTGGAGTCTTCACTACTTCCTGGAGGGACCCACTGGACTGGTGCACGAGAGTCCGACCTGGTGTTCTACCTGGTACAGCTCACAGGTTCAGAGACAGGACAGGCCTGCCGTGTCCACTCCAACCCCTGCTTCAAGCCCTACTGGCGGAGAGGCCTGCTAGCCGACTTCTCCATATGGGCTCACCCTGACCGGGTCACTGAAAGGGGATTGGGGGGAGTCAGGCCACCCCAGTGGACTCCAGCTCCCCCCTCCCAGAGGTGGAAGGGGACCAGGCTGTGCTGACTACATTCTGGATTTCAGTGGGTCAAGGGAGTGCTCTTGAAGCTACCCACGGAGGTGAACTGTACTGCACCCCAAATCTTGGGACCTCTTTCACAAGCACAGGAGAAACAGAGTGCAAAACCTGGATGCTGCCTGGAGCCTCATTCACTTGGCACAGGGAAGCCCTTGAAAGAAGTGAGGAAAGACCACGGATCTGCTTGGACAGAAGAAGTGACCAGCAGACAGATTTGTCTTTTTTTTTCTTTTTTTTCTTTTTTATTTTTCCCTTGTCCTATGCTATGATTATCAGAAATATTGTAATTAAGCAACAGGTATAATTTTAACAGGTCTTTTTTGTGTGTGTGGAGCCACAAGCAAATGAGTTTATAATTGTGCAATATACAGATATATATATATATAAAAATTTAACTGCTTTGTGTGTCTAGTCGGTGCATTAAATAAAAGGGACAGAAAAATTAAAAGCAAAACTAAAAAACAAAATAAAAGCCTGGGATAGAGGAGACAAAGGCCTATGCGTACAGTCTGTAAGTTACTGGGTATAATCAGGGTTACCAGAAAGCACAGCTTTGCCACTTGACACACAGACACTGCAGAGAGGGACTATCAGTGGGCAGGAGCTCTTGCTGCTGAGCAGGACCTGATGAAAGGTAAGGCAGAAGGGGCAGCTGGGGAGCAAAGTGATTTGCAAGTTTCCCAAATGCTCTTCAATTCAAAGGTGGAATTTCCTTCTGTGAGGGTCTGGGCTCTGCTGGTGCAAAGTTGGTGGGGGGTGTCCTCCCTCCCTGCACCGCCCTCATACCTGCCCTCCTTCTGCCTCCTGACAGGGCAGGCAGGGTGGTTGGGGAGGCAGTGAGAGGCTTGGGGTGAGGAGCCACTGGAGAGGGGAGTGCTAGGGTGTGCGCCACACAGCCACTTCCACGAGGCCCAAGACCCAAGGAGAGCAGAACAGAAGGAATGTGCAAGGGGCAGCCCCAGAGGAAGGGCAGGGCACACCACAGGCAGAGTTGTCTTCCTAGTTTCCTGGGTGTTTTCCTGACAAATCGGTGCGGGGGCAGGCTGTCAAGATGAGAAGAGAGCAGGAAGTAGGGTGGTGCTGGGCCTTCCAGGTCACTGGTGAACACTTCGCTTTCCATACCAAGAGCTGGGCTCTTGCAGTTTTGGGACCAGGCTAACCTTCATACTACCCACACAGGACAGGGTCAGAAGCTGTGTCTTCAGGGACTGTTACCCAGGGAGAGACTGGCTCTCCAACGACAAAATGTCCCAAAGTCTCAGGAGGCTCCTGGTTCCACCTCCTCAGATACAGGAGGCTTCAGGCTAGATTTGCCTTTGCCTGTGTAACGCTCACCAAACATCTCAGGCCAAGCACTAAGTATTTTTAGATTAGCATTTTTGCAAAAGCTTGCTCTTATTCATTTGGAAACATCAAAATGTAATTTTCTGCCAAATGTTTTCTAGGTTTTCCTTCTAAATTGTTGAGAACTAGTTTCAGTGTTCAGTTTTCCCCCTTTAGTATGAAATTTTAGACCCTGGGAGAGGCAGTATCCTAGCGATTTATAACAATTATTAGACTATGTATGCCTTTTATAGACTGATACAGTATCTAAAAGAGAAAGACACAAAAATGGAGAGAATCAACAAATCCCTTCAGAGTGGAGCTAGTTCACTGATGCAGACAGCAGAGAGGCAGAGCAGGAAGAGGGCATGGAGAGAGCAGAGGCCTCTGCCCTAGACATGGGATGCTGCTTCTTCTGTGCCATGGCAGGTGCTCTAGGCCCGTTCCATGGCAAGAACGTGGGGGACTTGCTATGTGATCCTCCCCAAGGGCTCTAGAAACAGCTTATTCCCTGAAGTCTAGGCCATTGGTCCTAGGATCTGTAAGGTGTGAACTTGAATCAGAAAATCAATTTTGGGCAACCACACAGCCTAGAATTGATGCACAAAGGTCTTCTCAAAGGACTGGTGCCTGTGACCTCCCCTAGCCCAGTCAGCCCAGAGAGCCTGGCTGGAATGGTCTGGAAAGGGAGCTGTGGTTAGAGAGGGGATACAGAGCTCTAGCTGTCAGGCTCCACTTGGGCTAAACAAAATCCAGCTGATCCTACTTGGTGGATTCAGTTCATATCCTTTTGCTCTCTCTTGGATTTGAGCTACTTACTAAAGGTTGTTGAAAATTTAGAGATCCTGTCAGCGAAGGAAACTCCCTTCCCCATCAAACTTTGCAGTTTGTTTCTGGTTATTACCTTCTTTCATGATCTCTGTCACAGCAATGACAAGCTGGGCAGAGAAGCAGGTGAAAATCTGGGGCTGTTCCAGTTCCCATTTCCACTGTTGGTGGCCTCTGGCCAGGAATGATGCCACCAAACAGACTGTATTGGGCTCTTACCATCCAGTGAGCTGAGAGGCTGGGGCACCTGGCTAGTTTGGCACTGATGGACTGGGGGATGCGGCATTTTTAGGTGTCCCCTGTGCCTTTTGATAGGGCAATACAGCATCAGAAGGGAGCTGTACTAGAGCCTGGCTGTGGTCAAGGGTCCCCAGCTCATTGCATTGTCAAGGCCGGCAATTCCACTGGTTATGACAAGCCCACCAACAGGCAGGGTAGGGCCGGGATGTGCATACCTGGGAGGAGCTTGAGAACATACAGTCTTCTGTCAGGAGAGGAGGTAGTAACTAACAACTAGAACAAGGGTGAGGGAGACTGTGGATGTGACCTTAATGACCTAGCCCATGGGTATTTGAAAGCTGTTGGTCAATTCATTCCTGCATTCTTCACAACTTCACTGAAAAATGCCTCCCCATCTTCAGTGTTCAAGTACAGACAAAATTGAGGTCATACCCCACAACTGGGCCCAACACAGCTGGTGAGAATCCTGTGGCTTAAGGCTTTCCCTTTAACCTCCTGTCAACCTAACCCCGAGTCAGGGACAGCATGGGACATGTAGGGCCCCTGCCTACCAGGGTGATAAACTGTGCTGTCTTTATTTGGAGAAGAGGGAGTGGGGAAGGAAGTAGGGGAAAGAGAGAAGACCCAAAGGAGCCTCAGGCACCACCTGCAACTTTGGAAGGAACTCTAAGGAAAAGGCAGCGGGGAATGAGGGAGCTGCAGGTGGGGCCCAATCGAAAGAAAATGACATTTCAAATGCTGTGTTCCCAACCACAAATGCCCAATCAGCCCTTGAATGGACTGTCATGGGTGAGAGGGGAGCCTGGTGGGCCCCTGCACTCCTCTTACCAGGACCAGATCATACTCAGCTGATAAAGAAGCCAGCTCCTGACAGCAGGTCCAGGAGCCACATTTCACTGGACTAAATATAATGCATAAAAACCCGACTGACCAAAACAAACATCTTCTCAGTGACAACCTGGCTGGATGCTACACTTGCATGATAGGTATCCTTTGGGGGTGCTGGGAGTGCGAGGCCACTGTGGGGACAGGAGCCTTTTGTCCTTGGAGGAAGAGGAGTTCCAAAGGACTCGCCTGCTCCTCTGACCTACCTTCCCTTCCTGGGAAGCTGGGAGGTCAACAGCAGAGTGGGTAGAAGGGCTCAAGGATCGGGCTGATGGGAGTTTGGTTGCAGGACTTGCTTTTACAGCATAAGGAAATGGATACATATATGCTAGAAAGTCTAACTATGAGACTCTACAAACAGAATGGGGCAAACTCCCTCACTTCTAACCATTCCAGAGGAGACAAACACGTTTTTTTCTTAAGCTACTGATTGGAACTGTCAACTATGGTTCCTGATCACTAAAGACTGGCAAGGAAGTGCTAGACAGTTTCTATGATGTTTCACTCCTTCATGATTACACCATAGTAAGGAAGCCAGGGGACAACAACTGAAATACACAAGACAACACGCACTTGACAATTCATGGCAGCAGCTCACATGGGACATGCCTGTGGGTGTTTCTGGAAGCATAAGACTGCTGTCTCATTTGCTACTTTGTTAAGGTACTTCTCAGTTGGACAGATTTAGATATAAGAGACATCTCTGTAAACACAGAAAAGGATATACCAATATGATGAAGATATGCAGCTAGATAAGGACTTCCTGAACAGAGGTTAAAAAGATGGGATCCCAAATGAAAATTGATCAGTTAAAAACCCACAGCAAGCCCAACCCTCTAAACTCCATACCACACCCATGGAGCAGATATTGAAGTGCCTGGTTTTCTGGCCCCACCCAGTCTCCAGTGAGTAAAAGCAAAACATTTCCATTAGAAAAGGAGCAGAGGAGGGGCTTGGGGCCCAGGGGCTGGTCCTGGCTTGGGTTCTGGGGTCCATAGGTCCTGCTGCACTATGCTAGACTCTGAGTGAGGCCATTGTGAAGGTGGCAGGGAGTCCCTGCTGGGCCACTTGATGACTCTGGCAGGCCACTGGGGCCTCTATGCTTTCCTCAGCTACCAAATCTGGCCCAGCTTCTCCAGCCCACTTCTCTAGAGTAGAAGAGTGAAAAGGCTCATTGTTCAGGGTCTGAAAGCCTTTTGCTTTTTTCTTACCAGGGAAGAGGGGGCTACGTAGGAAAGCAAGACCTTGTTGTTCTCTTGCTCTTCACAGAGAGGCCAGGCTGGACTCAGCAGAGCCCAAGGCTTCCTCAGGGCTCAGAACAGGATGGGGCTGGTACTGGCAGCAGGATAGCAAAGGGCAGGGAGAGTTCTAGGGGCTGGAGCTGACAATTGCCAGTTTGGTGTATGGTTGGGCACTGCGGCTGCCTGGAACAGAAAAGATGAACTGGGAAGAAGGGGAAGAAAGGAAAGGATGAAATGAAAGAAAGGCAGAGATGGAAGGGGAGGAGAGAAACCAATCAGGAAGTCCTTATAAAATTGCAGCAAACACTTAGAGTTTCGGAGCTTCGTGGGAACCCTATGTGCTGAGCCCACTTTAAAACAAGCACAGGTATATACAGATCCAGGTAGTTCTGAACACTGTCACGTCTGGTGGCTTGAGGGACAAAGTGTCACCAATTCAAGCCAGTTTGCTCTCAGAGCATCTGTTTGTTTTGAAGTGGGAACATGAAGACTCAATAGTGCAAATAATTCTAAGCTGTCCCTAAAGGAGAATTGGAAAGTAATTGGAAGAACATTTTCCTCTCCTCCCCCTTTGTCCCCTGCCCTGTCCACTAAGTCCCTAACTACCAGTCACAGACTGCTTTGAGAGATTAGGAATCCCTCCTGCCCCACAGAGCTTGGCTGGGCCCCAACCCTTAGCCAGCTTGTCTATGCCTTGTCCTGCTGCCTCCATGGCCTCTCTAGCGACACCCACTGGAGGACATCCTTTGAGAATGGGTGATGCCACCTCAACCTGGGCCATCCTCTCCTGTGGCTCAGGCCAGTATACCCCGAGCAGGTCAAGGGATGACTCCCTCCTAGCCATGCCAGAACTGGAGCAGACAGGTGCCACTTTCCTGTCCTGTGAAATGTCCTTGTCAGTTTTGGATTGGGGCTGGTATGGGGCCAGACTCGTGCTATCACGGGTGGGATCACATTGGCCATAGCCACTGGCCATCTTTGACATTGTCTCTAAAGTATCCAACCGTCTCTCCTGCCTCACACCTCCCTGTCCCAATGTGGTTGGGAGTGGGGGAGGTGAGGGGAGCTGGGGGAGCTATAGGCAGGGCACCAATGGTACCAAAAATGGGAGTGTCCTCTCAACTGCTCTCTGTCCCTAATGACCACATGGGGGAAAGGTCTGGGTGGGAGGGGAGGTGCCTGGTCAACAGCTTGTCTGGTCAGTAGTATCTGCAGCAAGCCTTGTTGAAGGAGCCTAGTTTAGAAAAGTGCAAAGCTACTTCTGGCCCTGGTTAGGTCTTCAACCTGACTGTGCTTGTCGGTAAGAAAAACATCCCCAAAGCTCCAGCTACTCCCACCCTGAAGCCACGAAACTCTAAGTTTACTGAAAGAAAAAAAAATATTTTTTATTTCAGTTAATCGGGAAGCTTTGTCAGAGCCCTACCCATAAGGAGAAGAGACAACAGCTGCCTTTATTCTTGTTGGTTTGCTTTGCAATCCGCTCTGTGTAAAGTCAGCTAACTCTCTCGGTCACGGGCGTCCGGCTGTCCACAGGCTCCTCTCTGTTTGGCCTTGGCATGGAGGATGAAACAATGTCTTTGCGCTCTCCCTCCCCTCGGTGTTTGTACTTTTCTGCGGCCGTGGCGGCAGTAGCGACCGCGGGCTGAGTCTTAGTTGGCTCCTTGGGGCAGCCGTCGCTCTCCAGTGAGCCTCCTCTGGGCATCTTCTCCTCTTTGCAGACGCTGCTGCTCAAGTCCTGGGGCTCAGGGGGGCTGGTGGGGTCCTCGGAGCTCTCAGGCTCAGGTGGGGGTGGAGGCAGGGGCGGGAGCAGCGGCGCAGGGGCCTTTGGGGACTCTGAGTGGTGGTGATGATGGTGGTGCTCCTTCTTGGGGGGCGAGGAGGCACTGCTGCTGCTACGCCCCTTGGGGCTGCTCTCCTTGCTTTTTCGCCCAGGGCTCTTGCAAGTCTTCAGTCCCTTCCCGCTCTTCTCACCAAGAGTGGACACCAGCAGGGGCTTCACTACTTCCTTGACTTCGATGCTAACTGTCTCCCGGGTCTTGCGCTTCTTGATGGGGAGTACGGTCTCCTGCACGGACCGGATGGAAGACTCCTTCACTGCTTTCTTCTTGGCCTCGGCAGCAGCAGCTGCCACCACACTCCCTGGCTTTCGGCCCCGTTTCTTGGGAATGGCCTGGGGGTCAGCCTCAGCTTTTCGCTTCCTGCCAGGGCGTTTGATCACCATGACCTGGGCAGACGTGGTAGCCCCACCACCCTCAGGCTTGCCCCCTGGTGAAGCTTGAAAAGGCATCTTGACAAGGAGCTTCCCAGGACTTTTCTCTAGGACCCTTTTCACCTGTACACCCTCTGACGCTGCCGCCTTGGGTCTCGTGGTGCCACTCCCTTTGGGGCGTCCCCGACCTCTGCCAGTTCCTGGAGCTTTGGGAGATTTGGGCTTCTTAGGTGGTTTCTGCTCTCGCCGGGAGGGGCTCCCTCTCCCAGTTACCGTGAAGTCAAAATCATTAGGGTCCAGGGATGTGTCGCCTACCTTTTCGAAGTACGCAATCAACTCCACTTTAGAGCGAAAGGCTTTTCCCTGGGGACTGTGTGAATAAATGGAGAGACACAAAGAACAATTAGAAACTTTCCACGGCAACGTCAGAGATGGGGCAGAGCAGATGGTGGTGACAAACTCTCTGATAGACATTACTACTAAGTAAGAGTCACATTTAGGAAAAGCCAGGATGAGCTAAAGAGGGGCATAGCCAAGGTTATACGTGAAGCAATAGCAGGAATCAGGTCGCCTGGTGGAAGTGGGCACCTGCATGGCCTGCTCCGATGCTGAAACAGCTAGGTGCTGGCTGCTCAACAGCTGTTGTCTGGATGCCCTCCAAGGACCTGCTGCCAACAAGGCCGCTGCTCTGGCCCTCCCAGGCCTCTCTACAATCCAGCAACCAAAGGGGCCAGGCCTGATATAATGGGAGCCCATTAGGCTGGGGGCCATTCTGTTGGTTGATGCCTGGGTCTGAACCACCACCAGAATATTCCTATATCTGAACTTAGGCCTGGTGCTTAGCCTCTCTGGGAATTGGTTTCAACACATAATGCTTTGCTCAACCTTCTCAGAGCTGTGGAATTAAAATGAGGCTGTCCACAAATGTCCTTTGAAAATTGCTAATCTTTTTGGAATCATTTAAGGGGCTGAAATGACATGTGCTTCTTCGCCATGCCTCTGAACCTCTGACCCTGGAAGTTACAGTTACTCTGCTTCAATAGGAAATGCCCAGCTGTCAGTCCAAAGACAAATACAAAAGGGACAGTTGGAAAGGCACATGGAATTTGTCTGTCTCTCCTCAGAGGCTGTTAGAGAGCACACCTTTTTCAACAACAATATGCAGAGGAAAACAAAATCAGTGTAGATTCTATTGCTATTCCATCTCCAGACAAGGACTTGAGGTGTGGAGAGGGCAAAGGGCTTGCTACCCCAAGAACTCCCCACTCAGGGCAGTGACCTCTGCACACAGTCATCCCAAGCATACTTGGTCTTGGTGTCATTATTTATGTCCCCTCCAGGTAGGGTTATACACATGCATTTTCCTGATCAATGAGCAACAAATAACTGTCCTGTCCCTGACAAAGGCATCCCTATCCCTGACCTCCAACCCACCCAGCTCTTCCCACCCTGTAGAGACAGGAGTTACCCTTACTTACTTGATCAAATATACATCATACTTCCCAGCGGAGCGGCCAGATTTCCTTTGCTTAAGTTTTCGTGTCCAACCTTCAGGCAGGGTGGGGTCGTCATACATGGGTCCCCGGTCGCGAATGATGGAGCGCCGCTGTTTGGGGGAGGCAGAAGCTTCTGGCACGGCTGGGGCAGAACCTGACCCTTCTGATGTCTCTGCTTTGCCTGCCTCTGCTGGCTCAGCAGAATGGTGGGCTGATGGCTGCAGAGGCTCATGCTTGCCCTCTTTGTCTTCTTTCTTATCTTTCTTCACCTTTTTAAACTTTAGAGGTTTGTCCTTGAGGCCCTGGAGGTCCTGGTCTTCTGACTTTTCTTCCCTGAAGTGTTAAACAAATACGTAAGTATCATAGAAAACACATCAGGCTGCAGAAAAAGTGAGCAAGGGCAGGCTTGGGCACCCCACCACATGCAAGGCCCCAGGCCTTGTATGTTCAGGTCCTGATGCCCTTCTCCAGGACAATGGGACCCAAAAATTTCTTTAGGGATTTTTTTGCCAGTGGATTTCTTTGACCTGAACTGTGGCCACCCCCAAGTCCCACTCTTAGCACTGCAGGAGTGAGTGACCTGTCTTTCTTCTGAGTAGAAATACTGTGTGGTTTGTCAGCACACTGCCTGGAAGAGGCCATTTTCTGAGTCACACCCTAAGGGCCTCTGGGCTTGACAGCTGACAACTAGGGAAAATGAGCTGCCCACTGAAAATGGGAGTGGGAGTCCCCTTCATGAAGGCCCAGGCTTGGGTGTATTTTTGGTTTACTCAAACGTGTTAACACATTTATCAAATTTGTGCTCAATAAGGCACATTACAACTTACTGATGGAACATGGTCTAGTACTACCCACTTGTGAGGTGGCACACAGTGCAGTGTCACAGAAAGAACAAACAAGTTTGGAGCCAGCCAACATGAGCTCAAACCCTGGCTTTGCCACTTCCCAAAAACGCTAGGGCTGAGCAAATGCCCTAACATTCTGTGCCTTAGTTTCCTCATCTCAACAATGGGTAACCCATCCCAGAGGCATCCTCACTGTGACAATGACGGGAGAAAAGGCACAGAGGCACTATATAAATACCAGCTAGCTCAGGCAACCAGGAACTGCTGCCCAGGGTTCTGATATGATTAGAGAAGCCATTCCAGGTTGTGTGAGTCTTTGTCACGAGATGTTCCCTTACAGGAATAGCCTTAGCCATAGCAGACTTGGAGAGAAGGGCAAGGAAAAAGGTGTGGTCTCAGCAGAGCCATGTGCGCCGTTCCTGCTGGTGCAGAACAGCACCCACCCCATTCCATGGTAGGACACTTCCTTATTCTATGCTAATAGAAGCAGCTCCTTCTCTACACATCAGTTTAGCCTGGTAGGGTCCCTTCTTTGTGTACTTCAGATATGGCCACTGTAAGGCCCCAGGACCCAGGATCAGCATCTGGCCAAGATGTTCTAGTGATCCATCTGAGTATGCCATGTTAAGATTTCCTAGGACTGCAGAGTCTCAGCAACACTGCCACCACCTGCAGCTCTTAGCTATGGGCCAGGCCAAGGGAGGCTTGGAAAGAAGCGGCTGCCTGCTAGTCCCTTAGCAGTTCATTTTGGAAATGGCAAAATTTCCGTCCTCCGTGTTCTCAGCCCCACAACTCCCCTATCCCACATGGCTGTCAGTGCCAGTCACTGCCTTGTCTACCCCAAGTGACTTCCCCTCTTGTCTACACCGTGGAGACTGCGCAATGAAAGCACCATGGCATGTACTGGCAAGCACCGTCGGGCAACCAGGACTCCAATGAGGTAGGTGAGTTATCAAATGCTGGTTAGGTCCAGGACTCAGAAGCTATGAGGATACACCTTTCTAGAACTGTCACGTCAGGTTTGGGGAGGCAGGAGCGGCTCTAGTCTAATGACAAGGTCTTAGAATAGATGGAAGATCTTGGCCTCAATATGACTTGCCAGAGTTCCTCCCTCCTGTATCTTCCTCCAGCAATTTAGGTCTCAGAGTGTGGCTGCTGGGGTCACCTAGAGCTGTTCCACACACAGATGCATCCCACAGCCCACAGAGTACCTTTTCTCGCTGTAAAGTGGGGGTTTCTAATCTCTTCTGGCACAAAGCTCACTTTTCAAATATCTGAGTCTTAGGGTTCTTAATGGGAAATGTGGAAGAACCCTGGGAAGCTAGGTGTAGCCTGCATCCCACCCCTTCAGCCTTCAGAACTGGCCCACTAGGCAGCCCCCCATAAAGGAGGAAAGAAGAGGAGCTTGCCAGCAGAGTGGGCCGAGAGAAAAGCCAGAGTAGCAGACAGGAATCACCACTTCCACACAATCTACCATAGCACTGCTTAATGCCAGGCCACTTCCTGGAACTTGGACAGTCCTGAAGTCAGAGAAAAACAATGGACAAATGGGAAAGGTCTGGCCTCTTCGAAACTCTCATTTGTATTCCCAGATATCTTGACCACTATGAGGTCAAGTACACACCACACGACCAAAGGAATGCTTTCCGGAAATCTCTGCTGAAGGCACACCCCTGGAAATGCCAAACAATATATGCACAATATTATTCACTATAGCATTCTTTTTACTGGCCAAAGGCTACAGACGCCGTGGATCCCGTTGTCAGGGGACTTCTTGAATAAATTATGGTACACCCACACACTGGAGTACTGTGAAGCTACAAAGGGACTGAAGAAGAGCTCTAAGAACTGCTGTGGGGTGATTTCCAGTGAGAAGAGCAAAGCGCAAAAAAAAAAGTTTATCGTATGCTACTTTTTCTGCAAGGAAGGAGGATTAAGGAGGGACACAGCAGGACTAGTGAAAGTGGTGCCCAGCATGGGGTGGGCAGGAACAAGGCAAGGTACAGGCTCAGGAGCAAGACCTAGACCTAGTGGAACATGCCTCTGAGTATAATTTTGACTACTGAATCACTTAAATGTTTACATAACTGAAAATAAAAATTAAAACAGAAAGCAACAAACCCCCATTACATTGAATCCAAACAGAAACAGAAGAGTTTAATTGTAGATCAAACTGACAACATACTATAGACAAAAGATTTATTTCAAATGACTTTTGACCATAGTGCTCTGGACACCCACAGTAGGACATATTTTAAGACCAACAATGTCACTCAAAGGGCAGTAAATACTCCAGACTGGCTCCTAGGAGAAATGGGTGATTCTGGTTCTGGGTCAACTTGTGGTGCCAGAAAGCCAGGAGAGTGCAAGAAGAAAACAGGGAGGACCTGTGAGAAGCTTCTAACAGCAGTCTCGGCACCACCCAGGGTGGGGGCAGTGTAACATTTGAGACCTGTCTAGGTGGAGCGACAGAGCTGACCAGTGGACTGTTGTGGGGGTGAGGGCCAGGTGTGAGTTAAGGCCCACTTCCAAAGCCTGGGAGGACAGCAGTGCCACTGACTGAGAAGGGGAAGACTAGACGAGGAGTAGGTGGGTGGCATGTTATACCAACAATGATGGGTAGAAGGTCAAGGAGAGAAACCAATTTTTCAGCTCCTACCCATAATCAGGAGAAACTCAGCTGTGTTTAGACTCTGACTTGGGCCTAAATTAACTGTTTGCCTGTTTTTTGGTTTTTTTTAGGTTTTTTATTGTGGTAAAATATATAAAACAAACTTTACCCTTTTAACTATTTTTAAGTGTACAAAAATGAGCTTTTAATAGCACTGAAGATGGGGGATAGAGGGCCTTTAACTATCTGTAACATTCTAGTTCTTCCAAATTTAAATTACTTGAAGCAAATATAATATGATGATTTTTAATTCTGTGAAATGAAGGGCGCACAGGTGTTTATTACTTTATTTTCTGACTGCTACTTCTACATTTAAAAACAAATAACAAAAGCCCACAAAGCAGCCTGGATTTTGCTGAGTGTGCAGTGGAGGTAAAAATGATACAAAACAGGTAATCCCAATGAATTTACCAGATGCCTACCTTCACTGCAGGCACTCCCCAAGGCTATCTCCCCAGGGGGTTTATGGCATTTGCTGAAACACAAGATTTGTTTCAAAGAAACCAAACACTCCTCTTCATCCTCCCTCTAATCAGACCACACACAACACACATGCACACACGATCTCAAGATGATTACCAGGAAAACGGAACACTTAGTTCACAAGTTCATACATTTAGAGTTGGGAGTATCCTCAGAAAAACCACCTATTTAACTTTTGAGTATTGGAAAAAACGGAAGTTCCACTAGACAAAGGAACTTATCTCAATTCACTATCGAGTCACAATACGCATGTATGTTCACACTGCCTCTGTTCTGAGCCAGCTCCCGCCAGGAGCTGAGAAGCTAAGGGCTGAATTCTTCTACCTTCCAGAGCTCAGTTTGGTAGTGGGTACAAGTAGGTAACAAAGAAATAGTAACACCCTCTCCCTAAAAAAAGCTTGTTCCAGGCACAGTGGAAGCAGAGATGGGGATAATTAATCAGCAGTGTGTGGGCTGGAGTGCCACAGGCTGGCAAGGAGGGCTTGGGCAGGCCATACCAGATGGGCAGAGGTAAAATATCAAAATGGTTATCGTTCCTAACCGATCACCACTGTGACGCTCCTCCATAGAAGGAAAAGTAACCAATGATGCCCAGTCTGTGTCATCAGCAACTCTGGGCCTTAAGCCCTTGCATCCCTCCCCCTTTACTTGGGGAACTTTCCTCCTCTAGGTTCAGTTAAGATGGCACTTCTGGGCTGGGCGTGGTGGCTCACGCCTGTAATTCTAGCACTCTGGGAGGCTGAGGCAGGTGGATCACTCAAGGTCAGGAGTTCGAAACCAGCCTGAGCAAGAGCGAGACCCCATCTCTAATAAAAATACAAATAAAATAATTGGGCAAGTAAAAATATATAGAAAAAAATTAGCCAGGCATGGTGGTGCATGCCTGTAGTCCCAGCTATTTGGGAGGCTGAGGCAGAAGGATCGCTTGAGCCCAGGAGTTTGAGGTTGCTGTGAGCTAGGCTGACACCACGGCACTCTAGCCTGGGCAACAGAGTGAGACTCTGTCTCAAAAAACAAAACAAAACAAAAAGATGGCACCTCTGAGAAGACTTCCCTGCTTCTGCCTCTTCTCTTTCCCTTCCCTTTCTGATCTATAAACCAGAGCACCCTAAGGCTCCCAGTGTACTCAGAATATACCCCTGTGCATGCCAACCCCCATCTCCCCACTTGATGCACAATGCCAGGTACAGGAATACTTAATATATGCCAAATGAATAACTACAACACAGATACTGTGCCACATATGCTTCTTTTTTTTTTTTTTTAAGGCGTCAGAAATGGACTATACATATGCTTCTTTTGATAGCTATATGCCTTTGCTTCTAGCAAATGAG